TGCTTACCCCTACGTTCCCGATTATTCGGCTAGGCGGTAAAGGGAGCACCTCTGCGATTGTTACTGCCGGATCAGCCGGATGTGTACCTCAGACTGGGTGAAGCCGAAAGCTAGCGTTCTTAAGGGAATATTCGGTCGGTGACCTAAAAGATGATCTTTTCACTTATTTATTTATGCGCCCCCAGATGCTTTTTCTTGCGTCTTTTTCGCATAATGAGCATGCAATTTAGGGCATGCCTCCCAGGGAAAGGAACCCCTAACGGAACTATTCTCTCTGGAAGATGTTTCTTACTAACCATGTAATATAACATAACTAGTCGAGCACTTGTCTCTTCACGCACTAATGACCCCTACGCCTGGTCTCCATGCATTCTCCGGTTCTTATATAACCGCATGAGAATTCGGACACACTCCGGACCACCAGGTCCCGAGGCTGAAGCCAAAAGGTCGGCCATGACAAACGATCTACAATCCGGCTAGAAGGCATTATAAATGTCAATTAAATTACATAGTCATTCTGACTGATTGTATTCCTCTTCAATACCATCTAACAGGCTGTCTAATTTACAGTCCTGCTGGGAATACTTTGCGGCCAATTCTTCTTGGCCGTATACTAAGCTTACAGGGTTCTCCTTCCCATCGGGCCCCACAGGACCGACCTCGGCCATGTGGTTGGGGTCAGCCTTGGTGTACCGCGTCTTCACCATGGCCCAGGCCTCTCTAGTGCCTTGACGGCAGGCCGATATCTTCCACAATCGGAAGCGCCGCCGTGCTCCCTTTAGCTTCTCCGCAAGCTCTCCAAGACCTTCGGGCATGGAGATGGATGGCCACAGGGCCTGGGCGACGCCTTGCATCGCCTTGCGAACTCGCTCGAGCAGTTGCGAGAGCTTGGGAAGAAGGTCAACCGTAGAACCGGGCATCACCTCTGCAGGACGACCTGTTAGCACACCAACAGACATTACTCTGTTAGTCGACTTCCCCGCTGAACTTTTTTTCAAAGGTTCGTTCAAGCACTTACTAAATATGCCGCGCTGAAGCCGCTGATTCTCCTTAACGGAGTCTGACAGCTGGGCACGAACATCTTTTAGGTCGACGCCCAGCTTGGTGTTGGCATCTTGGAGATCGTTCTTCTCCCGCCTCACCTTTATCAGCACCTTCTCACCAACCTTTAGCTGGCGTAGGAGGTGTTGCCTTTCCGGATTCAATCCAGCGCCATCTGCAATTTCATTTGTCAGATTCGCACTCATGTCGTGCTTCGCAAAATACTTATCTTTCAAAGTGTATATTACCAGAGGGGGTCTCCTTGGGCTCCCCTGCCGCGGCTAGTGCGGCCTCAAGTTGGGCTTTGCACTCTTCCAGCTCCTTGGACAGTAGGGAATTCTTTTCTGTAAGAACCTGCATAACAAATGATCCTTAAATCAGTTATTCTAACTGTTTCAAGTCTCGGGGGCTACTGGTATATATATATAATTACCAAAATTTTCTTACCCGTATGTCTTTTACATATTGCTCCATGGATCTGGCTAGACCATTTTGAGCGGCACGGAGGTACGCATCTCCCAAATTAAAGGCATCTAATGCCTCTTGGGAGAAACAAGCGTCGCGAAGAATTGTCCGGCGACGCCTGTGGTTCATGGCACTCTCCACCTCAGAGTGGGTGGCAGACAACCTGTCCACATTCTCCGTCGGAGGAGCGTCCGGTGCGCGCCTTGTGTTCACCCTCGCCTCCGGACCAGGATTTGGAGCCTAGCTGGTGGAGGCACGATTTGCAGCCTCTCCAGATATAGTCCGGCGAGGTCTCTTCGTCCTGAAGAGAGCACGAGTGTTAATGTGCCTTGAAGGTATAACACCTGGATAAGGGGGCGCGCCATACCTTTGCGCTGACACCTCGGTCCGGACTGCACCTCTTGTTGGCTTGTCGCCGCAGGTTCGGCCTCCCGTCTCAAAAACCTCCCCTGCAAAGTTTGGATGTAATCAGGAAACTGAAAACACGAGAGGGCGGACCCCTATTCGGGGTACTGGGACTTCGATCTCAGTTACCTGGGAGGCCGGGATTAGCCCTGGGTAATCGGCCGTAATGGCCACCAAGGCGTTGTCCTTGCTCAATTGATGAAACACTCCATCAATCAGCTCCACAGATAAGTCCGGTTTCCTCTTGAGAGGCCGAGCCGAGGGACCATCCTGGGTCCTCTGCTTGTGGAGGAGGGCTGCTCATTTCTTTAACAGCCTGGCGCAGCTCCTGCGTTGAAGTCGTTAGACTGAATATTTGACAATGGGAATATAAAACGAATGGGCAGCTAAATGTGACCACTTACCCAGCTTGGGGGATTGTACATAGAAAATCCACCCTTTGGGTCGACGCGGAGAAAATCCTCCTCTTCTCCCTTGTACAAAGCGGACAAGGTCTTTGTTAGAGCCGCAGCCGAATCCGGCCCCTTACGGATGTAGCGGGTGGCGTCGTCCTCCCCGTTGAAGTCCCACATGGGGTGGCATCTATACTGTAGCGGCTGCACCCCTCGCATGATGCATGCGGCCATGACCCCGATCATGGTCAGTCCGGAATGAGCTAACAATCTTATCCGGCCCATCAGGTAACGGACGTCCTTGTCACTTTCCCTCTGAGGGCTCCGTGGACGCCAACTTAGGCGCTTCTTTAGTGGAGCACTGTCGAACTCAGGGAGGCCGATCCGGACAGGATCCGGCAGCGGGACATCCTCTATAAAACCATTCCGAAGGCCAGTCCTCGGACGCCTTCTTTGGGGTTCCGGATAGATATCCGGTCCTGGCGACGCGCCACACTTCGACTCCGCCCACTTGAAATATCGACCCCTTCTGAGAATGGGGCACAAGGCAGAATAGCTCTTTCCACAGCCCGAAATGAGCCTCAACACCCAAGAACAGCTCGCAGAGGGCTACGAAGCCCGCGATATGCAATACGGAGGCAGGCGTGAGATTGTGTAGCTGGAGGCCATAGAACTCCAGGAGCCCCCGGAGAAATGGATGGATTGGAAATCCGAGCCCCCTTATTAAATAAGGGACGAGGCACACCCGCTCTCCTTTGGAGGGATTAGGGGCACTCTCCGCTTGCTCTCCGCCATTATAGATGGCAAGACCGGCTCGAACCGGGACCATATAGGCCGGGGGGAGAAATCCCTTGGTCTGGAGCGTCATTAGCTCACTATGCGGGATGGAGCATCTCTCCCAATATCCAGGCTGAGGGTTGGAAGGGCGAGAGGAGGAGTTGCGACGGCTAGCCATGGTGGTATGGACCTTTGTCGGATGCGCTCTGATGAACACTCGCGAACGGGAGAAGGTGTGGTTTGGATCTAAATCCTCGTCCCCTTAAATGGGCGGCTCATTTACGCCGCTAGGGGTGTGGATGTAAAAACACTCAGACTTTTCATATTCGTTTGACACGTGGGAGACGGCCATTATTGGGCGTAGAAGCCGAGGAGCGCAACATTTACAAGAAACCAAACTTTATTCAACAGGTACACGGAATTTGGAGGAGAACCCGCCTTGCATGCCGAAGACAATCTGCGCGCTGGATTCATCGTCATTGAAGCTTGGTTCGGGGGCTACTGAGGGAGTCCTGAATTAGGGGGTGTCCGGATGGCCAGACAATACCTTCAGCCGGACTCCTGGACTATGAAGATACAAGATTGAAGACTTCGTCCTGTGTCCGGAAGGGACTTTCCTTGGCGTGGAAGGCAAGCTTGGTGATACGGATATGTAGATCTCCTACCATTGTAACCGACTTTGTGTAACCCTAACCCTCTCCTGTGTCTATATAAACCGGAGGGTTTTAGCTCGTAGGACAACATAGAGAACAACAATCATAACATAGGCTAGCTTCTAGGGTTTAGCCTCTCCGATCTCGTGGTAGATCTACTCTTGTACTACCCATATCATCAATATTAATCAAGCAGGACGTAGGGTTTTACCTCCTTCAAGACGGCCCGAACCTGGGTAAAACTTCGTGTCCCTTGCCTCCTGTTACCATCCGGCCTAGACGCACAGTTCGGGACCCCCTACCCGAGATCCGCCGGTTTTGACACCGACAGGGCCTTTTTCTACTAGTGTGATACAAAGGCAGCATGATGCCGTTTTTGGTTTTCCCTCCTATTCTAGGTTTTCCACTGTTTTCCTTGAAAACCACCTTAACTACCCCACTTTTATCAACTTATTACCAAATAATCCGTTATTGACATACAAGATAAAACTAGATTTTTTTTAATAATTGGTAAATGTGTGTTAGCATCTAAAATCCTAGCGCCCATGATTGTGTACATATTTAGGCAGGCAAAACACGGCATGATTTTATTTGGTAAACATTTGATTACACAATTCATATGAATTTACTATATTAATAAACCATGGCCAAACTTACTAGAATATGTATGCATGTTGCAATGCACGGCCATGTTTACTAGTAGTACCTATATAAGTAGGGGAAACATCAATGGATATGATACCAAACTTGTATGATTAGAAGCATCACGAAACATATTTTTATAATTTATTCATTTGTTATTATAATACAATTTTCAGTATGAACTTGATCAACCAGAGAAATCTTTGATTTCCAAAAATATTAACACACCTTATAATATTTTTAATAAATGGAGGAAGCATTTTTGTGGGAAGGAAAGAAAAAGAAAAAGAAAAAAGGGAAATGAGGGGAAGAGGAGACAAAGACGGAGAGGCAGGGGCAGTGGCCGGGGCCTGCCCAGCGTGTCATGATCGGTGGACTGAGCTGCGCTGGTGGTCGAGTTCCGGCCGAGTCCGGGCGGTAAACGGGGTCCGATACCGACTGGGTGCAGAGCAAAGAAGGGCTCGCTCGGCTCGGCTAGGGTTCCTCTTCCTTTCCATGTTTATATAGATCGAGACGGCACCGCCGCCTCCTCCAATCCAATCCCCAAACCAGCGCAAGCGACAAACCTCGAAACCCAAGATCTACTTCGACAGCAGAGGAACCATCAATCAATCAAGAAGAGGCCATGGCGGGCAAGGAGGAGGCGGGGAAGTTGACGGTCAGTCCGGGCAGCGCTGCTGCCAATTCGACGGATGCCGGCGTCGATGGTCCTGCGGCGGTGTTCCCCTCCGCCGCCGGATCCATCTACACGGAGGGTGACGAGTCAGAGAAGGGGGTTGCTGCGATTGACAAGATGCTTGGGGAGGCGAATCTGTCATCCGCCGTCGCCAATCAGCCGGCCGCAGCACCACCACGTCCAAACAAGGGCAAGGTTCGGCTGTCGAAAGCCGAGATTAGGAGCATAATTGACCTGAAGCCGGAGCAACAACCCAGCGCGGATTACCTCGACGATCTGGCAGAGTATTTCCCTCCGGAGTGGATTGAGGAAAGGAAGCGTGCCCACGCCGACAGCGTAAAGCTTTTCAAGAAGATGGACGATGATTTCGAAGAGTACAGGCAGCAGGTCATCGCGTCTGTGCGGGGCAAGGGCTACTTCGAGGTCGATGAAGACTTCATCGCCAATAGGGAAAGAGACAATGAGTTGGGTCTCGAACAACAGAGGAGGATTCAGGCGGCTAATCCCCGTAGCCGCAAGTATGTTGCTACCCCGGAGGACAGGATAAGGGATGCAGACGGTTATATTCCTTACGTTCGTAAGATAGCTCACGCTCTTGTTGATTATGTTGTCATTGATGATGAAGTTGTGTTTCTTAAAGATTAGTCCTGAAGACAGAGTGCAAGCGTGAAATTCAACTCAGAGGATGGCTCGTTTAGCCCATACCTGTCTATCTACTATTATTAATCTGTGTATTTAGCATATAATCTGAGTTATTTTGGATCCTTCCAAGCGTCCATGCTTGTTCTATCTAACTGTGTCCCATCTCCTGCTATGTTATGTTTCGCACTCCAGTTTATCATTTACAATCCTGCTATGTGGTTGCTGCTGTGGGTGACTCCTTTGCTAATTTGCTTGTGCAATGAACGTGGTTTCTGCTCCCAAAACAGTACCTTCCTTCCTCTGTTGCAGTAGTATTTCTAGTATCTCTGTCTGGTAGTAACAATTCAACCTAAAATGAATGGTCGTGCACTGCACTTCTGCTGTGAACTGGATCATGAGCACTCACCTGTCGTTTGTTTCACCAAGCATCCTGGCCTGTTTCACCATGGCCTACTTCTCGCTTCTCGTGTTGTTTGGATGGTCGTCATGTTCTCTATCTTGAATTGGAAATGGTAGTTTTTGGATGACATTTACTCAACTTTTTGGTGTTTGTTATCCATGCCTTCGTTCCTCTGCAAACCAGAGCAGGGTGTCCACTGGCCATCTCGCCATCTCTGCATCATCCCCGAGTATACCCCATCTCCTGGCTCTTATACAGTTTACGCTTCCTGCCTTGCTCTAAGACTGTTCGATTTCCACTCGGTTCCTTCCTTACAAGCCATGATTCAACTAGACCTTTTTCACCACTTCTTGCTTCCCGTGTTGTTTGGACAGTCATTATGTTCTATCTCGTCTTGGAAGTTGTAGATTTTCTTCTTCTTTTCTTCTTTAATCTTTGGCCCCGCTGGCCAAAGTACAATCTTTTGCTATCAAGTTTTTGGTTGGAGTGGCCTATTTGCCTTTTTCTTTCTTCTTCTTTTGAAAGACACCTAGTTGTGGTTTTTACCCCGGATCATTGACTCAAACCTGGGTGTCAATGTTTGCAATTTTAAATCAACAGGGGGTCAAAATGTGAAACATTGACTGATACATATGGGAGCCTCAAGAAGCTGTTTACTGATCAGAGGAAGATGAGGTCATTACGAATGTACTGTAGCTGCCATTGACGCTCTTGCAGTGAAGAATTGCAGAGTTGAAACGTGGACAAAGGACATAGAAAAAGCAATTTTCTGGTATCAAATGTTCCTATATGGAATGCACTAAAATGTCTCAACAAATTTCAGCAGAGCAATTCAAATATACAGACTACTAATCTACTCCCCCGTTCCTAAATATTTGTCTTTCTAGAGATTTGAACAAGTGACTACATACGAAGCAAAATGAGTGAATATACACTCTAAAATATGTCTATATATATCCGTATGTGGTAGCCCATTCGAAATCTCAAAAAGACAAATATTTAGGAACGGAGGGAGTAGCAAGGAACTCCAAGAATCATATGCCGAAATGTCTAATTATAATTAAATTTCGTGGCGTGCAAAGAATTATCCATGAGACAATCAGTTTTGCACAAAAACACAAGGGTACATGCATGTGGCACCCTGGCTCAGAGCAACCGGTTTACCTTGCATTGTCAGCCTAGAGATCATGTCTTGTCAGCCTAGAGATCATGTCTTCTGGCAACACACAACAACTTGGTACAGAAAGATAACCGCTTTATTGATTTCTGTGGGTACAAGGGTCTAACGATACAGGAGTTAATGAGGCCAAGCGGCACACACAATGCTGCTGCACATATGTACATTATTTAGTAGACATATTGGGGCCTCGGCGATAGCTACTTGGCAGTGGAACGACAACGTAGAAGGACTCTATCTCACAGGGACACTGATATGGACACGACATGACTGCGATGTACAATGCAACTCCAACTTCCGGTACAGCTTCTCGTGAAACTGGCATGACACGCCAGATGAGTACTTTGAATGTACTCGCAAGCTCACAATAAACAAAGCAACAATGGCAAACAACAACATGATATTTAAGCAAGTTATATGCAAGAACATGACATGCTTACCATCTTGGTTACCTCGTAACCACGAACATCATCTTAACACGGTGATCTCCTCCAGATCACAAAAGAAACCATCTCGATGGTTCCAACAACTTCATCACCATATCAAGTGCCACAAGTATAACTTTAGTGTGCAGGTTAATTATTTCTGTTCATCCACGATGTGACCTACTACGAGTTGTGTCCATAACCGAGGACGCGACTATCGATAGATTAAGCACACTATGCAGAGGTTGGTACACTGTACCCACACCACAGAACCCATGGCCTCGTGCTCCCATTCGGGTGGACCAACGACATTTCGACAAAACCGATCTATTGTATGACACTCTCCCGGCTACTCCGACCAAATCCCCTTTGGTATAAGTTATGGGTGGCCCTGATGCCACTCAGACATCGAACGACCATCATCATGGCAAAACAAAACGGTCCCAAACGGGGACAATTGTACCAAAACAACTACGGGCACACAAGGCTATGCCTGCCTACTGGGCTAGGGCAGTACAAGCGCATAACCTTCCCTCGTTGGAGGCACCAGCGAGAGGCATGACAACAGACCAAATCAGGGCCTTCCCATAAAGGCAAATGTGGTTGCACTGGGAAGCTCGATTCGGTGGCACCATGACTCGATCAACAACATGTTCAAGTTGCATTGTAGTCAGGTTTAACTTGAAATGAAATTTATTCGAGCCATAGTATGCCATGAAAATACCATGATATGCATATGCATCATTTCAACATAATCCCGGTATTAACCTACACATGCTCATGATCATATTACTCTACTGCATAAGCTAGACCAAACAACTCAAATACCACTGAAAACATAGTAAGCACAACATGAATATGAAACTAACACATGTGAGATTATTTAAATAACTATATGCATTATATGAGATCATATTCAAGTAAAAATCATATTCATTGAAATGTCACTCTTGCAAATGTTTGTGCTTGCTTGCCTTAGTTCAGAGGAGGTTCACACTCCTCCTAGTTCTCCTCAAGGTAGCAAGATCCTTCTGAAAATATTAAAAATGGTATAAAAATGTCACATAACACTTTTAAACGCACCATAAATTATAAATAGCAAACAAAAATCTCAAAATTTGCATGCTGATAGAGGAGATCAAGACAAAACCAATGCAAAAAGAATCGACTGATTTGGACTTGTAGAATAAAAGTTATAGCTACTCAAAGTTGGGTCAATTTTTTGATTTAAAATGAATTTCAGAATAAACAGAAGTAATGACGTCGAATGCGTATTTTAGGATTACACCTCCACTTATACCGCTTTGGGGGGAGCGACGGAGAGACTATTGGGTGGGGCCCATTGTCAGGTTCAAAGGGGAGAGAGAGGCAGGGGATGACGGCTCTCTCACCGGTGGTTCTCTGGTGAGGAGTCCACGTTGGCCGCTGGTGAAGGGATGGTTGGATGCGCCTCTGCACGGCAAACAAGCACATACCAGTAGTGTGGGCAAAGGTGGATGGACGACATCGCATCGTTCTTCTCCATAGGTGGCGGTGGAGGGGGCTTGATACGTCTCCAACATATCTATAAATTTTGATTGTTCCATGCTACCATATTAACAGTTTTGGATATTTTATATGCCTTAATTTTCTATTTTATATTATTTTTGGGACTAACCTATTAACCTAGAGCCTAGTGCCAATTTCTATGTTTTCCTTGTTTTAGAGTTTCGTAGGAAAGGAATACCAAACAGAGTCCAAATAGAATGAAACATTCGCGATGATTTTTCTTGGACCAGAAGACACCCAGGAGACTTGGAGATGAAGTCGGAGAAGCCACGAGGTGTCCACAAGGACGGAGGGCGCCCCAGGGGGTAGGGCGTGCCCCCCACCCTTGTGGGCCCCCTGTGCACCTCCGGACCTAATTCTTCCGCACATATATTCCCATATATCCCCAAACCACCCGAAGCATCCACGAAAACAATTTTCCACCGCCGCAACCTTATGTACTCGTGAGATCCCCTCTAGGGACTTTTTCGGCACCCTGCTAGAGGGAGATTCGATCACGGAGGGCTTCTAGATCAACCTATTGCCCTTCCGATGAAGCGTTTAGTAGTTTACCATAGACCTACAGGTCCATAGCTAGTAGCTAGATGGCGTCTTCTCTCTCTTTGACTCTTAATACCATGTTCTCCTCAATTTTCTTGGAGATCTAGTCGATGTAATACTCTTTTGCGATGTATTTGCTGAGATCCGATGAACTGTTGATTTACGATCAGCTTATCTAGGAATATTATTTGAATCTTCTCTGAATTCTTTTATGCATGATTTGATATCTTTGTAATTCTCCTCGAACTATCAGTTTGGTTTGGCCAACTAGATTGGTTTTTCTTGCTATGGGAGAAGTGCTTAGCTTAGGGTTCAATCTTGCGGTTTCCTTTCCCAATGACAGTAGGGGCAGTAAGGCACGTATTGTATTGTTGCCATCAAGGATAAAAAGATGTGGTTTTTTATATCAAATTGCTTGAGTTAATTTCTCTACATGATGTCATCTT